TACGTTTCATTATCTTCCCAGCATTCGTCAGAATCTAGAACAGCCTAACGGAAAGTGCATCCCTGCAACTTTCAAACTGTGTGTTTGGCGTTAAAGTTTCACAAAGTGGCAACTTTCATGTCAATGCTTCATATCGGCAATAAATGTTTTTCTAAAAAGAGCTTTTATTCCACTATCGCTATTCGTTTCAGTGGTTACAAATCAAATTCAACCTAATCATTTCAGCGGTCACAAGTAAAAATGGTATTACTAGGCAAAGATTCGGAAACTTAAAAGTTTTAGGGGCGAAGCTTCTCAAGGCGTGGGTCTGTTCATTCCTTGTATGTGTGTAGTAGTACGTGGCCACCGGTGGCACATACCCGCTCTAGAGCGGGCATGTGCCACAGGGAATGCGACATGGGAGATGGCGGTACTTGGAGTGTTCCCTAGATCGACGCACGGACGGATGGATAGACGCGCGGACCTACGGGCGGATGGACGCATGGACAGACAGACAGTTCAATGGACAGGTTCACGGACGGACGCATGGACATACGGACAGACCGAAGGTCGCGCGGATGAACGGAAGCACGGACGGGCTGACGGACGCTTCGCCCCACTCATCATCATTCACTCCGTGGATATGCTGCGATTTTTTTATTTTGGCCAAGTCATGTGAACTGGCGGCTCAGTCATGAATTAAGTGATGTTAGACAAAATGGCCTACATTCTAAAAAAAATATCGAGTAAAAAATGTGCCTTTTTGTCCCACAACAATAATCATCATCAGGCTTGCGTGCGCTTCCTTTCTTGAAAACTCGGCGCTGGCCACTTTCCTATCGAGAATCCAACGTAACCCTGATAATGGGCATGTCGATCGTGACCGGAATGTACCAGGCCCGGGGTGATAGCGCAAGGATGGAATGCAATATAGATGAACGATTATTGTTGTGGGACAAAAAGACACCCTTTTTACTCGCTCTTTTTTAGAGTGTAGCATTACTCGGAGTTACCAACGCGAGAAATGGTTAGACGAGATTACTAATCTTGACGTACCAATAGTCGAAATCGTCTAGATGGCACGCAAAGACAATCGATATTCACCATATTTGCTTCTGTAGATGTCGTTCTCAATACACCTCATTACCGCGAGCATAACGAAAAAAATTATCAATAAAGTGATCAACGAATTTGCGCCATTTTTGCACACGGGCGAATAACCAATAAAAATGCGCACTGCGACTGTCTGAAAACAAGAAACATCCTCCATTCAGGCATGCATCTCACTTAAGGCGTTTTTATCTAAACTAAAGCGTGACCATTTAGACAGATGGAATTCGTATTTTTTTCTTTTCTATCTGTTGTTATTCGTTCATATCTCTACGCGTAGGCTACAGCGCTCGCTCTTTTTGGCTGCAAAATAAGCGTAACACGGGTAGTGCACTTCCTGAAAAACAGGAGGCAATGGCATAGATCGATGCGATTTGCGACGACCTGAAAACACCTGGCAAAAGTGTACCTCGTTAGCCATTCCTCGCGCACAACGCAGGTGAACTGTTTTATTCATTTTTTAACGTAAATTGCAGAAGAAGGCGGAAAGACTGATAGAGATATTCGTTTTCTTTTAAATTCACCCAGTGTTTTTGTTCGTCTTTCATTTACTAATGCGGAAGCCCTGAAATAAAAGCGGAAAGAAAAACAGAACTACCGATGTCACGTATCGCGTAATAAACAGGAAGCGACTCTGGTACTACCGGCAGCTGCCGTCACTGTGCGACACGACGATCCCCATTGAGCTTGTATGACATTTAGAAATGCGGTATAGCAAAAGGCCGTGCGAGAGAGGACAACGTTCTGTGCGGCACAGTCGTCGTACGCAGCAGCAAAAGACGACAAATGAGTCACGAAACACACGTCGTCGTAGCCGGGCTTACCAGGAGGGACGTTATATCGCGATTGCATAATGCCCAATTAACGACAAAAACGAAAGGAAAACACGGCAACCGAAGCGCGTTCTACAAACCAGGAAACGGTCGACCGACTCGATTCGGCGCTCTGAGCGGGACCGCCTTTTCCGTTCTCGCAGCGCCAGCTTCCTCGAATGTTGACTGCCATTCGCGGGTGTCGCATTGGTTTTCTTCTTTAGGCCCTTCCAAATTATTATAGAGTCACCAAAGTTGCTTACTTCAGTAGTGGCGACGATTCTACAAGCGCAACAGTTTCGCCTCAGCATGGCGAAAAACAACAACAGTGGATTCTATATCGTCTACCGCTGTAAAGGTGTTATGCGCGCTGCTTCGAGTCGTAATGAACGCCAATACCGGAAGAGAAAAGCGCTTGGGCAGCCTTTATCAACTTGGGAATTCGAGACGCACGCGCACGCCGTATATTTCCGCATTGCAGCCTGTATAGGAGACAATAAATGCACGCGCAAAGGCACGAGAACAGGACAGTACCAGATACGGTGGCATGTATGAAGCGTGTTGCACGCCCGGAAGAGTGCGCCCGAGAGCGAAAGATTGAAACAAGTGCTGCCTGGCAAGAGATCAAGAGACAAGCAAGAAAACTGCTTAGAGGAACGAACATGCAGGGACCCAACGGTCGGCGTAAGACAAAAAGAACGAGGAAATGTCGCCGGACCGGCCGCTTAGTAAGTGGCGCGGAACTCTCATTCCGATTGTCTCGCGCTACAGACCCTTTCCCTTTACCGGTAACCGGGCTGATAAGTTGCGCAATGACGAGACGCTTCCGCGATACGCTTCTGCTGTAGTTGCGGCCGCAGCGTATGCGCTTTCGCCGCTGTGCCCCTCTTTCTCGCGAGGTCTTTAATCGAGGTCAAAACGACGCCGGCTTCACGCTTATCTCACGGCCTATTGGAAAAGCGTCGTTGCGTCACTGAAAGAAAGAGGAAGGAAGCAATCGCGCGTCCGGAGCCTCGGATTCAATTAACAGAGACAAGGCGAGGTTCGACTGCTCAGGGGCATTTGTAACCTGCGTCACGAATTAATTAAAACACAGAGCACGTGACACATTGTGGGCTGATTTAATCAGAGCACAACGGAAATTTGGGACCACTCCACAAGTAATTCACAGTGCGTGTCTATTCGGACGTTTAAGCATTCTGGAGTCAGATGCACTACCGTTGCGCCACCGGGTCACACGTTTAAGCATTCGAACTACACCTCCTATTTTATAGCAAAGCGGCGTTTGTAGAATGTTTTGGTGGCAAAAAAAAATCGCGTCCTCGCACTGCCTACGGACCATCGAAAAGGACCGAAAGCCTTATGTCACCACAGAATAACCCAATATAAGCATGATACTGGTTTGCGTCAAAAAAAGCTAGCATATATCCTCCACGCCGGGCTTTTCTGCACTTGTTCACGCGTATAACTAAACGAGCGTACGGTTTGAAAAGAGCACTGAACTCCCAGGTCGGATGCCTACTGCTGCCCGACCCCTTAACGTAAGCGGCTCGTCGAAAGGATGGAGTAAGTAGTTTTTTCTCGGAACAAACCAGCCGACGCTACCGGCAGTTGTCGATAATTTTCAGAAATTCAAAGGTTTTGCGCCTGACCACAAAACCACGACAACTGCTCAGAAAGTAAGAGGTTCTAATTTGAAGGACACCACGTGTGCGTTACAGGTGCAACAAGCGTCAGCAATACTCACAGTCGTGCTTCGTTAGTCTGCAGCAGCGCGTCCTCTATTTTTCAATGTCAGCCAGATGTGCTTGTTCCAGCCGTTTACCATTCCCTACTCTAGCCTTTTTCTGCTCTCGCCCTAGCCTTCGCATTTGCAACGGCGTGTGCTTTGTGATCATGGGGGTGAAAACCGATCATGAAAGGCCTGACGGTGGAAATCATGTGAAGTAATTTTTCATTGAGTTGTGTGCAGATGCGTGGGGTGGTGCCTTGCATTCTTCGTGTTCGCAATACTGGCAGTCACGCTGGCGCGGTAAAAGATACGGTGTTTTGAGAGAGCGCGTCGCCGTTCATGACACTATGCGGGCAACCAATGGGGAAGCGTCACCGAAACGCTATATACTGCATGCGCTGCGCTGTGATGCGACGGCGGCATTGCTTCGAGCCACAAAAAAGGAGCACGAAGAAAGAAATCTGACATACATATGATATTGGAGTGGTAATCATGTCTGTCGCATTTCCGGGGGAAAGCACTCAAACGCACGTGTGACGCTAGCAGCGTTACCAATCATGTAGTGTCACATCACGACCACTTCCTGAACTAAGGTGGACAGACGGCCTCCGTCGAGAAGCGCTTGTTTAACTGGCATTGAAAGAAACGAAGGACGCGTTGGTCGGCAGCGTTCCTTCATTGCCGACGCCACTGCGAACATTGTCTTCTGTGTTAGCTGTTTCCATCGCCATTCAGGGAACATGCAATATACACGAGGAATGAAGTTATATCAAGCCCCCAAGCTTGAAGATATGTCGTTCCGAAGTTATGCCGTGGGACACACATTTAAGCTATGTCAATCGATGATGATGTGCTGTGTGCTGTTTGTCCTCCATAAAGAAAACAAAGGAAAATAACGTGGGGACAGCCCACACAACCCTGATGTAAAACAGGCTGAAGCCAACTAAAAAATGAGTGGTGGAATTTCACAAATTGCCTTTTACAGAAAAACGAGTGAACGGTAATCTATAGAAAAAGCAAAATGGGCATTCAGCTATAGTAATGGAAACACTGGTAGCTCCTGTATTGTCCTCTAGTTGATTGTGCGCATCCCAATGCAGCCTTGATAGCTAAATTACATTGCGATTCCCGCGCGATAGAGTGGTTCGAAAGAAGGTACGCGGGCCAATTGGGACAAATGGAGCGCATAAATCGGCGAAGCGGGCCTGCAGTCAAGATTGATGTATTCATGTTCTCGAAAGGTGACCGTGTCGGCCTCTATCGGCCACCTTCCGACTCGTTGGTTTCGCGTTTACGCTAGCAAGTAAACCTCGTTGTGACGTCACTGCCACAGGACGACGTCGGTCCCCAGGAGAAACACACACTGATTGAATATGAAGAGCTTTTTCATCCGTTTTATTCTCTAATTCTGCGACGCGTGAAAGGCACTTAGATTAGAGAGCGCGAATGACAATATCATGCACCATAGGTGCGCTGGATTTTAAGAACATGTTAACATATAACAAAAAGCAAGTCCGAAGGGTGTAAAAGAATATTGCCATTTTTCCTGTCTGGGACACCTGTGCTGAGCAAAGCCTCTTCAATCAAAAGGTTGCCATTGCGCCCACACATTGCATACACACAGGAAAACTATCAGACAGGGGCTTGACTTTTTGGCAAGTAACAACGAGAATATCTCCTCTTTTCTTTTTTTTCTTTTTTTTTAAATAAAGCACGACCTGAGACTATTGCCGCAGCGAGTACAATATTGCAGATACCGAGCTTCATGATGACTAGAGAGACTACTGTGAGCGCTTGAACTGAGCCCCACGCTCAGTGAAGTAAACGATACACCTCAGCTCAATGTAACCTTGGCAAAAAATAAACACTGTGCCATCTTTCCGGCAGAAACAAAGAAACAACGTACATAGCTAGGCAGTCGGCTCACGCGTACAACAATCGTGATGTAGAAATAGCACGGGAAATGGACTCCCAGAGTATGACCCTTCGCATTAGCGCCGATCAACGTGTCAACGCATTCAAACGCGAACTGGAGAAAACAACCGTTGACACAAACAAACGTGTCTGCTTCTCAACCACACCTTTTGTTTATCTGTCTCATCCTACTTAAGTGTGATAAAAGCAACTTTGTTTAGGTTATCGGGTTTCGTTAACATAAACATTATGTTTGTGTATGAGGCCGCAATTTGCAAATCACTGTGATGTCAAAACTCTATTCTACGAGTCACTGTATAATTACAATATTAGAGCAACAACCATTAACGACGAGTGTTTTTTTTTTTCGCTGTATGCTCGAAACCAGCGCGGAACGTGTGACTTTTGATCTTAGACGAGATCTCAGGACCATGATGTCATATACTAGATCTGCAAAAGGCTAAAAAAAGTGCTGCGGTGATTCCCGAAGGATACTAACCGCAATTCGAAACAAAGTTCTGACAATTTCCTTTGAGTCGGCGATTTCTTCTTTCAATAACTCGACAAGCCAGTAGCCAAACGAATACGATTCCGGTTAACGATCCCTGTTTCGAGCATCATGTCGGATAGATTTTGGCGCCATTCTTCAAGCATCATCTTTCACGTGTGCGTGTGCTGAAATGTCGAGCTGTGATTGAGAAGCACAACGAATAGCGGGACACAGACGTGTGCTGCCCTTAACAACGAAGGAAAACGTAACAAAACAGGGAAAGAAAGAACTCAAGCTGCAACGTGACTGGGGACCACAAGTCTCGTAGCGTAAGTGGGGAGCTCGAGCCAGCGTGGCACGAGTGCATCTTCGCCGCTTCCCACTGGCGTTGTCTTCATCGAAGGCGTGGTATAAGCACCGCGTCCAGGACCACTCCTTAGAAATCTGTGCCACCGTCCCCTGTGGGAAAAGAACAATTTCAATGTGAACAAATCACCGGCAGCGGAGCTTTCTTCTACAGTACAGTGCCTATTCTTCAAACAATGGCATGACGGCTATAGCGAGTGCCAGGCGGTTTCTCCCATGTTTACCTCGATTTTAAATTCGTAGCATTTCTTAGAGAACTTCGGCGAGTTTGACCGTATCTATCTATCCATCTAGCCACCTACGACTTTTAGCTCTCCTCGCCGTTTAGATAATCGAATCTATACCAAATTTGCTATAGCACGGCGTGACTGTATGACGAGCATAACTGGTTAGTCATAACATGCAGATTATGACATGTAAGTCATGAATTTAATTATTTAGATGCCATGGTCTTGTTGTTTCTGCCGTGGTTTCGGTCACGTGTGATGTGGCAAAACTGATGTGGTATGAAATGACTGCATGGCAAACACAAGTGACCGGCCCTTGAGTGCAACATGACCGTGAAATGCGTTTCATGTAAGAACATGACTACATGCCATGCTCGTGATGCGCTGGTGGCCGTTTTGCTAGCTTAACATGTACCAAATTTGGTAGTACGTGACGTGAATGGATGACGAAGGTAAATGACACGTCCATACATGATAATCATGATATGCGCGTGATGTAAAACTTAACTACTTGCTATGCTCATAGTGTGCTCAAAGCCGTTTCGCTACATCTACAAATACCAAGTTTGGTATCAGGTGACTTGAGTAGACGACGAAGGTAAATGGCACGTCCAAACATAATAATCATGACATAGAAGCCATGTACAGCATAATGCACGTGCACCTCTTAAGGTTGTGGTGATTTTAAAGGCACATATCAACATTCCTCATTGATTCCTCATTGGTGCTTCGCATATCATTGATTCCCGCTGTACGTGGAATCTGGCAATTTTTTTTTTAAGTGGCATTGAGTGTTTGCCCTCTTGGACATTCTATGAGTAGGTTCACTTAGAGTAAACCTTCGGTATAATGTATGCACGGCCACTTGAGAACATTATTTCATAAAAGAGAACCAGTTTATTCTTTTAAATGAGCTGCCGGAGGTCATATAATGACGGACAAAGGGGATATAAAGCGTCGAGTATCAGGAAGCGAAATTTATACTGTGAGGAAGAGCATGTGGAGATTGGTGAATAATCGTAGAACCTAGAATTAGTTTGTCGAACAAGTTTCACATATTTGTGAACTGAATTCGTTGAACAAAATAATTAGAGCTTTTGAAGAACGGATGACTTGTTAAAGAAATTTTCAGAAAAATGCACCTACAATTCTAGGCCGAGAGTGGCGACTGGGAAGCATAGAAGGCTTGACAATTGCAGGTTTCCTAAAACAATTGTAAGATTCAAAATTTAACAGTTGCCGTTTTTGTAGCCGGAATGTTTAGTAGATTCCGCGCGAGTTTAAACCTTTGAAAATAATGTCAGATGGTGAACTACATAATTCGCAGGGGATCCGCCCATGCCGGAAACATTACGCTATTTCAATCTGTGGTTTATCAAAATAGAAAAAAAAAGTTGCAGGTGCAGTCGTGCTCCGTCATACGTATCGTACACTCAGTTTTAAGTTTAGTTGACAGATTGTCACTCCGAAGAACAGCCATTTGACAACCCCAATTTCATCGCTTTTTAAGAATGGGGCGAGCAGCCATATCTTTCAGGCTGGAAGCAATGGGCACTGAACAGAGCATTCTCACCGGTGTTCTCTCCCGTCATGGCTTGCAGCATCCTGAAGGACCTCGAAGGGATGCTTCCGCCGGTGTACTTGCGCGGATCCGGTTCGGCCTCCTGTTGCGAAGCCGGCACGTTGGGGTTGGGGAACACCTTCTCGGGATGGGGCACGAATCCACCCTGCCCTTGCGGGCCAGAGTAGCCACACTCTTCGGCGGGTCCACCCAACTGGATGGTCATCTGTGTCGTCTTGCGTGGTTTGGAACCGCCTTGTTGTTGTTGCTGTTGACGTCTCTGGTCAAAAACGGAAGGCGCTACGGAGCCTGCGTAGAACAATAGATTGGCAAAAGGCAGCAGTGAGCGCTGACATTTCTGAAACTACGATTCATAAAATAAAATTGAATAGTCCAGCTGGCTCCTTATTGAAATCGTCACGTGTCTCTGTCAGTGTACTCTCAATTTTAGTCGGAAGCATTCCCATTATATCGCTGCAGGTGTGCGCTGGTGGAACCAAATTGGCACGTGATAATGAAATAGAGGTCTAGAGTACCCACTTGCGTCAGCGTTATATGTACGGAGGGTAGTTTTAGCCAATTCCAAATGACGACTCTCGTGTAACGCTGTTCAGCTAAAAGAGACTAACCATGACACGGCAAGCAGGTCAATTATATAGAAGAAACAGAGACAACTCTATTCAACTCCAACTTCGTATCTTTCTATATGTATATGCTTTAAGCATGACACAACGAAGATCGCTATTCACAAAAACGTCTAAACAGCCGCCACCATCCAACTGGAAGTAGTATATGCTGAGTGCAGTCAAAGACCACTTGCACTACGGCTGTTTTCTACGTGACATCCCAAGCATTTGAAGAGTCAGCCCGGCCGGGTGCTTTCGGGTTGAGGATTCTGAAACGACCCAACACTTCTGTCGAAGCACGCCAGTCCCTATTTCAGCTGTCAATCTACGGTGGCCTCTCCCGCATGTGCACAAAAATGCAATTCAGTTACTGCTCAACTTTGATACTCCTCAACTCAGCTAAGCTATTCGTTACTTGAGCGACTCTGCGAGCTTTGTGGAGTTTCTTTTTTTTATTTTTCTTCTCCCGGTTACAATGCAATGAAAAAGCCTCGGCACGGGACCCCGGCCTTGGCGATTACCGAGTATCCGACACCAGGTGTTCCTCAAGACCTCAATAAAGTTGTGTGTCTGTCTGTCTGTCTGTCTGTCTGTCTGTCTTCCGGTTACACGCAAAAGAGTATTGACAAAACATTTCTAAAATGTTGTCAAAGCATTACTGGAGATAAACATATTACAACGCATATACTTCGAAAAGCGTGCTACAAACAGCACACCAAAAGACCGCATTCAAACTGGCCAAAGAAATTAATAAAAGTGAGTATAGCGAATTACGCGCTTTCATTTACTACATTATGACGTTGTGCACGCAGTAAAAACATATAGAAGCAAACTCATCGGTGAAGAACGCGAAAATAACGCTGCAATAGGCATTCTGTTTCACCAATAGATTTTCATCAACTGTCTGGCATTCAGAACTGATTATATCACGCATACGAAAGTAGTTTTTACTGCAATAGAATCGAAAGTTGGGCTAGTTGGATATTCATGGTAAAGCTGTCTATTTATTCGTGCGCTTGAACTGACAGTTATAGCAGTTTTTATTGGTGGCCCATAGCACGAAGCTTCACCAACCATGGCTAATAAATAAATAAATAAATAAATAACAAAATAATTAAATTAGTGAAGAAAGAAAGAAAGAAGAAAGAAAGAAAGAGAGAGAGAGAGAGAGAGAGAGAGAGTGAAAGAAAGAAAAGAAAGGAAGAAAAAGAGCAAGAAAGAATGAAAGAACGAAAATAAAGAAGGAAAGAAAGAAAAGAAACAAGGAAGGAAGGAAAGAAAAAAAGAAAGAAAGAAAGGAAGAAATGCGTATTTGAGCCTATACACAGCCTTTTTCGAAAACAATCGTCTAGCACCCTCCACTCTCTGTTGAGAGCTTTACTTAAGCGCTGCTTAGTGGCGCACCTCTACTCATTATTCGACGCTTTTGTATGTTCGCATATAGAAACGAATAAAGTGCAACAACGTCATCAGGCCGCTTTCGGTGCGTGACTTACCGCAGGGGTCTCAAACATGCGACCCCCCAACCACTCACTGGCTGCCCGTGCCATCTCAAGGAATAAACTTTGGCCCCTGCTAAATGGTATTGACATTATTTTCTCATTTGTTCAGATTAATACGCTTTGTTCGAGAAGCATCAGAGATGGGAATGGTGTCAATCATTTTTTTTCCTGAGGCATTACCACAAGCGGTAACCATGAATGTTTTGAGACATTGCCACAGAAGAAAAATTATTTTTCGCAATTTTAGCCATTCTGCAGAACATGTCAACTGGATATACTCCCCAAAGCCTACGTCAAATTTCTGGCAGATATAGCCCATGGCCCATATTTTGGATATGAGAAAGCCGTATACCTTTCAAATATCAACGCTAGGTGACATTTTATGTAAACAAATACCCCCCTTCCCCCGCACCATTCGGATTTTCTTCCCTGTCCCGGCCCTTGTCGGAATAGATTTCAGGAATACGGCCCACTAGATCACATGAGTTTGAGACCCCTGCATATTTTACCGCGTGTTATCATGTTATGCAGCATTTCGATCATGTGCTGATTCATATAGATAAGAGATGAAAAACAGTTGGAAGACAAGATCAGTCTTGACGCAAAGTTGGCTTCTGCGACAACCTCTGCTCAGAGGTTTTGTGACCTTGTTAAGGATCCATCTTCCCCTAAACTTATGCCCTAGCTGTTTCTATATATAGGTATACGAGTACACGAGAGTGCACGTATACTATTTGTATTCCTTAAACTATAGTGTATGATCCGAGGCATACACACCTCACTGCAACGCTTTGCATAGTACCCAGTATGAGTTTTTTTTTTTTTCATGTCGGCATGTGTCACTCCGTTATGCGAATAAAACGCGCAAAAGAACAAAACCTGCATCTCGCCTAAAGCTCGCTGCAGAAAGATTCCATCATTAGCTTACGAACGTTGTGTGTATATTTTACAAGGGCACGCGTTTTATGTGTATATATACTTTTTTTGTTTCAGACGCCGCAAACATAGGTGTTTTCAGCCGCGTCGTATGTGGACGAATACATAGAAATGAGCAGCGAAAGCTCGCTACAGCAAGTGTTTCAAAAGCAGGGACGTCAGCAGTATATAGATGCGTATTTGTAGGAGTGCATAGTTGAAGGGGCGAGTGAGCGCTCACTTGGTCGCCTGTACAAATATTGCGCAGCTAACGCAGCTATCGACTATATTTGCACAGTGGTTCGGCATAATCAGTGTTACTCGGCCTTAAAGCAATCGTTAAAAAAAAAGATTTGCTGGCTAACCATTTTCAGAGCAATACGCTTCGTATAAACACGCCAGTGGTCAGCGTCGTGTTCTGGGAAGTGCAACATTTAGAGACTCCGCATGTAGGCGAATATACTTTAGCATATGGTGTGTCTCAGTTGGTATACAAAGGTGCGCTACGCCGAGAGCGGCTGCGAGACGCGGAAACGAGAGGCGAAGCTGAAACCAAAGTATTTCTGCCAGCCGAGTCAACGACGAGAAGCGCGCGGGCCTCGCCACTGAGGCGTAAAAACGGCGCGAGAAAAATTACATAAACGCACACAATAAATTCTGAATAAGAAGAGAGACAAGAACAGCCTCGGGTGACCGACATCAGCGGCTGGCTCGCAGGACGAGGCGGCGAAGCGGCGGTCGGGCGCGAATAGCCTTCTCGATCAAACTTCGCGACAGCTGGCCTTTTTCTTCTTTTCTAGACTGTCGGAAGGTGCCGCCGCTGCCTGTGATGGGCGCCGTCCTTAGCCCCGATTCGCCACATAGATTCGCGGCGTATGTGCCGAAAGACACCTGCTCGGAAACGCGAAGACAACAAAAGAAATCGTTTTTTGTGGGAGCGGACCTTCTCCCTTTTTTTGTGCGGCCCAAACAAAGGACCCTCGGCAAGTGTTTCCACGAGAATACAGAACGCGGAAAAGCAGCGCGTGTGCAAACAAGCGCACTGGGGGATAAGCCAGGGCGCGCTAAAAGGCAAACACATGTGGTGCGGAAGATGTGGAGAAACGCCAGCAGGTGAGGCAGCCGTAGCGTTGCCATTTCTCCTTCTCCCACCTATGAAAACGAGGAAGGAAGGGAGTGGGAAGGTTTCCTAGCACCGCTATAACTGCATGATACACAGTTTTTAAATAGCTGAGTTGGTTACATTAGTTTTCTCAGCCTGACTCATTTCAAAAGTGTCGAGTGTTTTTATTTTTTTTTTTTGCTATCAGCAAGCGCTTACGATTTTGTGATGGCGAAAAACTGGCCTTGAGCAAAAAGCAACGATTGCGTTTGAACGGAGTTGCTACATCATCTTGGTTCTGGGGCTTGGCTCACTCGCTTTTAGCACTCGCTGGATTCGGTTATTAAGAATATCTGCACCTCTACAGCTCTTTACAGCATACAGTTATTAAGTGAATCTAATGCTTTTGCAGTGTACGCTGCTACATATATATCCAAACGAACAGCCATACCACGATTGTTGCATTAAAAATGTCTGTGCGGAATAGCTCATTTATGTGCGCTTGCTAGTGTTTATTTCAACTTAGGCGCAAAAAAAGCACACAAAAACATCAAATCACTCCCCCACTGTTCAAAGACGTGGAATATTGTTAAGCTCATGTGTGTATACGCTCAATGCTTCAACACACTACGCAATGCGTCCAGTAGAGCGAGCGCCATTATTCGCTAACGACCGCTAATCCTCTGCCAGCAAGCAGCGAAATTACACGTATTCCATTCATTCCTGCGTACGCTCTTTTTCCCTCGGTTCCGTTGGGTCGTTTCACGTACATCGTTTCACCAGCAAACGAATTCTTACTGAAATTCGTTCGGGGGGGGAGCGGTGCCGGCGAGAATCGGTATACGGGTGAAGAAGCGAATATGGCCGGGGCCACCGGCATCGTTAGCTCATGGGCTGCGCTTCGCGTCCGCGCAATATGCTCGCCGAGACTCACCGTCGTCGCCAGTCATCTCCTGAAGCATCTTGAAGGAGCGAGAGGGGATGTTGCCTCCGCGGTAGCGCGGGTTGATGGTCGTGTCGTCCAGCTCCTCCGGGTGGTTGCAGTACTCGCGGATGTCTGCGCCAACCATCAAATGTATGACGCGCGACGCGTCGAAAACACAACGTTAACAGCACGCGAGAGTGAGGAAAACTTTTCACGCGACATATGTCTATCTTGCCGCTATCTCTCACACAGGGTGTGTCTTCTGCAGTAACATAACTGTACAGCCTCAGTTGTTTAATAACATTAATATATGGTACATTAAGCGCCCAAACCACTATATAATTATGAGGAGAGACGCCGTAGTGGGTGGCTCTGGAAAGTTTGACAATCTGGTGCGCTTTCACACGCACTGACATCGAACATTACACGAGCCTCTGACATTTCGGCTCCATCTAAATGCGACCGCCGTGGCAGGAATCGAACGCGCGACCTTCAATTCAGCCTCCCGGCGTGTTCACTATACCGCCTTGGCCGACGGCCTCAGTTGTTTCTGTGTAGAGCAATGATACACCTCTCCTGGTGCACGACTTTAGAGTCTACTAGACAGCCATGATAGGTGCTGTGTGACCGTGTAGACCACGAATAAAAGGTAAACCTTGTTTGCGCTATGCACAATCACTCTCGTTGGAATCGCCTGTCTATATGAAGTGATACAACTGTGTTCTTCATGTTCCTGCAATCGTCCGTGTAGCATATATCAGTAAAGCCAGGGCTGGACAAAGCGTTAAGTTATCCTAGTCAATTTTCACTGGCAAGACGCGCCACAAGCTTTCTAGGACACAGCTGCATTATGACATTGTGACAATAAAAATAAGCGAAAGAAATAAAAAAGCATACAAAAAGTTACTTGTCAATTTTACTGCCACGTTGTTATTCCTTCTCCTTACATTTCACGCCATATAAATATTTGCGGCATCTCAGTGCTCATGATAGTGGCAGTCAAGCGAAACGGCTAGCTACAGAATTTGTTTTTCAAGCCCATCCCTCCTTTTTTATTAATTTATTTTGTTCATTTATATTTCTTGATATTGTTTATATTGACACTTCGAAGGTAGTGTCAGGGAGCACGATACTCCATGACAGCATAGCGCCGTTGTCGAGATTAAAGTCTAGTTTAAGTGTTTGCGAACGCCTAACTCTGTTTCAGCTTGCTAAATTCGTCACACGAAGTTCATGACAGACAGGTCGTGATGACCGAGCAGCTGGACCATGCTAGACGAAGCACGTAAGAGTGCTCACCCGGGGGTGGTTCCTGCTGTGACTGCGGGTAGTAGTACTGTTGCTGCTGCTGGTAGGGCTGGTCATCGGCGCCGGTCATTTTCTGGAGCGTCTGGAAGGAACGCGACGGGATCTGGTCCCTTCGTAGGCCACTGAACCGCATCTCATCCTCCTCACGAGGCTTGGGTGGCGCTGCTGCGAGAAAGCACGAAAAGAAAATGTTATAATCCAGTTAGATCGAATACTCAGTGGGTGAGTGGCTGGTAACGCGTAAAGTAAAAGATACGTAACGTGTAACGAACGAGTGAAGGAGACAACTCGATGAGTTCTCGGTTAGATATCAAATCGAGTGAACGGTACGGTGATAAGAACAATATATGACCTGTAGGGGCCACTTTTTGATCGCTAGAGTACGGATGAATAACACCGGTCAACTAAGCAAAATGATGAATACGTATAAGGCAAAAAAAGGGAAGTCAATGATCGGTTAAAACACGTATCAACACAAAGAAACACCTAGTTTCAATGAAAATACAGCCACGCCACGGTGGTCTACTGGCTAAGGTACTCGGCTGCTGACCCGCAGGTCGCGGGATCGAATACCATCTGCGGTGGCTGTACTTTCGATGGAGGCGGAAATGTTGTAGGCCCGTGTGCTCAGATTCGGGTGCACGTTAAAGAACCTCAGGTGGTCAAAATTTCTGGAGCCCTCCACTACGGCGTCTCTCATAACCATATCGTGGTTTTGGGATGTTAAACCCCACATACCAATCCATAAATCAATCAATCAATCAATGAGAATATAACTAAAGCGAACTCAAGTCATTTCGTCTTGTGCCCGCAGAAGTTTCGAAGACGTTGCACGAGATAGACATTCGGTATGCAGTTCGCCAACGAAGTGAATGGAATGCGTTTCATCATGAAGACATTATGCTTTTGTTTGTTTGTTTGTTTTTCTCATGCAATTAACCCGGAGAGCATCATTTCAGAAATAAATGGAGCCCTAAACTTTTCCCTCTTCTTTTTCTCAAGTCACATCCGCGTCACTGATCACCCCAGGGAAAAGAAAGGAATCAAGAAGTTAGTATGGGAAGAGTGAAATTGACGCGGAGATTTGTGCTCATTATTGATCCATTTCAAATCAAACCTTTGAGCCATCAAAAAGCTGGATTGAAACTGAACGGGTCACGTTGCCGTGTAATCGCCTCACATTTGATAACCGATAAGCTAATTCGCGTAATGTGTGAACTTCGTTTTTTTTTTATCGTTTGTGGGTTCGTTTAGCTTATGAAGCTCGCTTCGCGAATGCCCGCATGGCCAGCACCTTGTCATATTTTGTACGCCGCACACGTACACTACCTGTCTTGCGCATTCGACCTTCGTGGCGACGACGACATCGCAGCGGCAAATTGGCAACACTGTTTCACTCAGCACACCACTTCCTCATAGCGGTAAAGCCAAATGGTTGCGAAACGATCCCGGTTACACGATCTGTCATACTCCAGCACGCCATGTATTCAGTACGCACTTTGCGTGTAATCCCGCGGTAACGCAATAAGTCGTAAATGAAATCCATATTGAAGTCAATGGCCAATATTCGCGTAGAAAGGGTTCACGCCGAGAGGACATGCACTACGCCTGGCAAGAATCGGTGAAGACAACATGTTTTTTGCCTCCGTCAGTGAACCACGATGTTTTGAGATAAACAAATGAAGAAAATGAATATACTAATATTATTATCGGGGCTTCAACGTTACAAAACCGTGATACAATTCTCAGGCACGCCGTAGTGAAGGGCTTCGGAAATATCGACCGCCTGGTGTTCTTTGACGTGCACTGACGTGTATACAGTACACGGCCACAGTGAATGTATAGAATGCAATTCCAAACATTCACCGAGTGTCCCACAACATAAGAATAACGGCGTGTAAACGTAACACCGGGGTAGTGTTTTCTGCAGCTTGTGAGCTGTGCAAATTGTGCACGTTGACAAACAAAGATTCACGATGGCTATGCACAACAAAGCAGAGAACGTGCAACACACGGTGCACTTCCAAAGTGGTTTACAAGGTACCCGTTTCCTGTGGACGCCAGTACACAGGGCAGACCGGAAGGTGTTTCAACGAGAGAGCGAGAGAACACAATTCGAATGTGCGTGGCTGAACATTGCAAGCAATGCGGATGTCCGCCCATTTTTTTTAAAACACAGAATTTTTGAAAAAGGCAAACGGCAAAACAGAATGTGAAATCATGGAAGTGTTTTTTATCAGAGAAGCAGGAGACAGTCGCATTAGCAAGCCGTCTAATTTACTCGCTCACTATGGGACTCAGTATCTCACAGGTTTCATTTAAATCGTTTCCTTGCAATGTTTTCTTGTTAAGAAGTGACTTTATGATTTTTCACTGGTGTTGTTTAAACTTGAGAGTGCAAGATGCGTGCGCGCGGTGCAGTTCATGCGCGCGTGATAGCTTCCAGTGACCATGGTTTACCTTCCTTATGATTTTGTTTGGTGTTTTGATATAGGAATGGTGTGTATGGTTGAAAGAGCAGTTGGTGAAATGAAGATGTCAGCTTTAAATTATGCCCCCGTATGTGTTCTGTGTTTCTGTGTCCTCGTATTTATTACTCTCTTCTTCCCCGCTAACCAGTTAGTTGTATACACTATGGCTCCAACTTTGAATATACACTGTGTAATCGTAAACATGCATTAATACCTGGCCTCCGTATAAACAGCCCTATGACTTCCCGTATAAATAAGCAATAACTAAACGCCCTTCAGGGATTCGCTTATCCACAATGCGTGTCACGCAGAAATAATACGTGCGGTCTCGTCCTTCGCCTCGCGAATCGCTTTTAAAGACCCACGCCCATATCACGCATCACGAACACACAAAGCCGCACCACTTCGCAGGGCACGTTCAAATGAATGTATACCGACAGACGCATAGTTCAGCACGTATGCGAACAAGTGTCACAATAATGCTTGCGTGCAAGACCTTTTTCTTTCTTGGTTAGGCTTGCATGTGAACAGGGTTACAAGCACTGAGGTTTAGAGATGTGTTTTCTACACTATGTAACTTGTGCCGCACGTAGCTGAGTAGTACACGATCTCTAAACATTCGCTGTCGCACGATTGTCTCCGAATATATGCTGCCCGGTTCTGCATGCCACTGGAATGGTACGTTACACCTGATGAAATTAAATTTTTGTTTAAGAGGATGCACAGTACGTCGCAAGAAGGTATAATAAAGAACAATAAAACAAAAGAAGCAATTTATACGAACAGAAACTCTCAAGTCATGTCTGTACCTGACAAAAAATGAAAGAAAACAGAAAAGCTGCAACAACTGAGGGATGTATTGACGTTAATGCATTTGCAAGACACGCGGGGTTCGTGCTTAGGCGGAACGACCGCGCGGCAGTCATTGAATTACACATGTATCTACATGTCTAGCATGTTGTGCGAAGCATACAAAACGTTATATCTTGTGGAAAGGCTTGTTCAATTCATAGCCGCTTTGAATTTACGCGTGCATCATAAGACACCTGCGTAGACTAAAGAGTGAATACAACACCCGTTCTTCAGACCTTATTTCCATTTTCTCAGAATTCCCGCAATGATGTGACCATAAAAGGTGACTATAAGTAAATGCACAGTTCTAGCTGTCCAAGGTTCATTACAGTGATGTATCTCAGTCTGTGAGATAATATTTAGTTATCTAATTTCATAGTTTAAAAACCTAATACTTTGAGCGAGCTTGTTGCTGTAGTGTATGTTGAAGGCAGCCAGAGCTTAACACATGCCCTTTAACGGTATAAATCGTGACAATAGCCACGTTTTTTATATACATTCACGAACTTGCCCAGAAGTTGTATCAACGTGAAAATTATTTCTCTCGAAACTCCTCTCCATTTATGTACCAACAGATGAAACTGTACTGAGAACAAACGTATCATACCAGGATATAATTTGGGTAAACACATCTCAAACTGGTGGTGCACTCTCTGAAATCTAATTAACCGGACTTTACATGAGCAGTGACTGGATTCAATTATTTGTAAACTGCGTTAATAATAAAATAACCTAGTTGTAAAATTACTTCATTTTCTCTTCGTTCATTTTCTCATTTTCTGTTGATGCCAGCAGCGAAGTTTTAACTCCCGACGTCGGTGATACATTTAGCACAACGTGACGTCTCCCAGTCATAGTCCATGCACGCTGTCGATACCTTCCTTACTCAAGTCGAAGTCGAAAAAAGAAAGTCTGGAAGACACACTATATGATTCAACTGTGCATTTTGCCACAATGATAATAAAGGAGTGGCGATTCAAGTAAGGTCAATTAGTTTTGTGAAACCGCGTTCTGTAGCGGCATTCAAAAGCACCCGTTTATTATGCTCGCTCGAGCGAAACAAGACTAAGGGTTACATGGTTCCACTTTGCCGTAAAGAGAAACCATGCCAGTATCAGTCACAGTCTCGCAACATTCATCTCGTCAGACGCATATCATTTTTTTTTGGCACTCCGCAATTACATGCACTAAGCTGAGTGTATCTTTCCAGCGAAAGCACGGGTCACACTGTGCACTTGCATACTCCAGCAACCGCAGCCAACAGCAGCAGTAGTAGCCGCTGATTCGGCTTACTGCTGCCAAGGAGGAGATCGCTGCTTTCATTTCTCGTCCTCAGCAGTAGTATTCTGGTGGGTCACAAGCGCTCCTGAGTTCGAGACGCGATTGCACTACATGCACTAAATGGTGACTGCATTAAATGTAGTGCAGTTGCCCTTCGGGCTGTCTTTTTCAATTAATACTTTTCCAGTTATATTTCTTTGTCGTGAGCCTCGGAACGGTAATAATACAACTCAATAAACACAGGATCATGGGGGAAAGACACTGACACAACTCCCGTTCACATAGCGGACTTTCACAGACACTCAGTTTGCGTCCGTCCGGCAATGTTTGAGTAGCTAATTTCTAGAAAAGTATTGATTGCTCCATGCCATGTCAAGAACAACAATGACCATAGGCGAAGACATGGTTTGAACCCCACTGGCTGCGTCTCTGATTGAAAACGGTCACATAAGGCGCCAATAATGTTAAAAATTAAAAATATTAAAAGCATTGGGGGGGGGGGTATGTAATTATGGTTCATTCTGTCGAAAATTGCGTGCACTTGGAATCAGACAAAAACAA